GGAAGGTTTCAGACGAGGCCCCATGTCCCGACCTCTGAGTAAGAGGCTGAATCTTCTTCCCTGCCCACGCAGCATGAAAAGCACCCGTTTGACCTCAGCACCAGACTTTCTGTGCCCAAAAGGCACGGCTCAGCCTCGGCTCCGCTCACTCACTGTGCTGCACAGCCCCTTCGCTGCCACCGCCGCCGCCCGTCGGGGAAAAACACCTCCTCTGCAGTGCTGGTCCCCGTCCTCTACGCTAGGCAGAAAGCAGACGGAATCAAAAGCAAGGCGATCGTAGTTAAATCAAGCAAAAGACGACTGCAATTTTAATCTCCTTTAGCTAACGGCTGCTGCACATTTCCCTCGCGTGAAGAGTCCGTCGCAACAGCAGATGTAAACCAGAGAGGATCTGACAGCCGGTCCTGCTCTCACCTTGTCCATGATTCCCCGAGAAACAGCCTCTAGCAGAAAGTGACTCAAGGTCCCTCGCCCTTCTCGAGGAAACTACTCCGATAAACATTATGAACAGAAAACCTTCCTTGATATTCTCTCCGCCTTCGTCAAAGGTTCAGTTACTTCCTCTTGCTCCTCCTCGCTCAGCCCTCGCCGTCACGGCGGGATTGCCCATGGCAGGATGGGAGGTTTCTGGTCACGGCGTCAGCCTGGCTGGCGTGGCTGCCGCAGCCACGCGGTGCCCCGGCAGAAAAGCCGCATGCCAATCAAGTGAAAGGGTCTGAAAGATGTTGCCCCATGTCTTCTGTGCCTCAGTTTCCCCTGGTGTACAGACTCCACAAGGAAACCTGGAAAAGGAGCGTGCACAGGTAGATTTATAGAGTGCTTGGAGGTCTCCTGCATGCAAATCATCCATGCAGAGAGCTCAGAGAGAAGTCCTGCGTGTAAGCAAAGCTTCCCACTCCTCCATAAGCCAGCCACACAATGTATTTTTAGACAGCAACTGTACTTTGCCCAACTGGACAAACCAGATGCAGAAGTGAGTAATTCTGGCAGCAGGAAATTCAGCAGGCACACGGGGATGGTGGGAACGGCTACAGCCGACTCTGGACCGGAGGCACTTACCGGAAAGCAGAGGTGTCTCCTCCTGCAAAGGGGGATCGCAGAAAGGCTAGGGGTGTGCTGCAGGGCACAGGTCTCCAGCACGAAGATTTCTGGGATGCGCACAAAGAGGGGGTCCATCTGGGATCAGCATCTCCCATAGAGGCTGATTTCTGGCTTGTTTGGCGGTTCCAGCAAAGCAGCTCGATGTGTCCCGGGCACCCGAGGCCTTCGCTGCTTCCCTCTCCTCCAAAACACAGGCTCCATCTCTCACCCAGTGTCTGCCTCTGGTTCGCTGGACCCTGACCCGCAGGAGGACTGGGCTCCTGGCCATTAGTTTCACCTGTCCCTTATCACCGCTGGTTCATTTGTTTGTCCAGCACAGGGCAGCTATGGGATTCAGCTGCTTCCCTTGAACTTTATCACATTCCAGCCTCAGCTCGTCTGCCGTGGGGCTGCTCAGCTGTACAGATCGCAGGAGGCAGGAGCAGCGGAGGCAGTCTCACTGCAGAAGACCCACTGTCTGGCACTAACGTACACAGCCAAGAAAAGGAACCCATAAAATGCAAAGTTCAAGGCGGCCTGGGGAGGTCTCAGATGAAGCAGAGTCATCGGACTATGTGGTTACACTCTTGCTGGGTAATTACAGCCTGCGGATCCCAGCCTGTGTATCCAAGAGGCGATTCCCACCTCCCCTTTTCCAGCCACACCTGCCTCAGGTTCAATAAAAACTAAACCAAATATCACACGAGAAATGAGAAGAATGAAACCCGTCGGCTGATGCACACGGCCAGCAAGCCAGGCTCAGAGCTTGGGACACGCCAGCCTTCGGGGTGGGCTTGTGCCATGCAGAAAGAGCCACGAAAGTTGTATTTTCAAACACAGGTTTCCCAAATCATACTGAAAGCTGACACCAGCTTTGTGGTGCTGGCATAAGGGGAAACAGCCTGTTTCCCATATGAAAAAAAAATAATAAAAATAATCTAAAAGCTGCTGACACACGGTGCACAGCATGCAACTCGCTTTGCCCAAGCAGCTCAGGTACAGCTGCACAACCCTCGAGATCAACTCCCGCACCGACTCCTGCTGCAACCCCCGGTCACTCCTCCAGGAAGAGATCTGGTAAGAATAATCTTCTCACTTTGCTGCTTATTCTTGATAAGAATTACAGGGATACAGCACGCATAAGAGCCTAGTTTCCGTAAGGCACATTCATGCTGTCTTGCCCCAACATGGGCAGTAAAGCACTGAAGAAACTTTGCCAGCGTGTTATTTTTCGTCTTCAGTTCCTTATTAAGGGCAATGACACTATAAAATGATGACATCTGAACGAACGAGGGAATATGGAGCAGGAAATAAAGACACGGAGTCCTCCAGACTGTCTACCTTCCAGGCACAGAGGGCGAGCGCCCAGTGAAAGACACACACCCCCCCCATTTCACACACCAATTTTGGGCTCGATCCTCTACAGCATTCAGCCGTCTTGTGACCGTCCTGAGTCATACGAGAAACCAAATTCCTTTAGGTTTAGTACAGAAGAAACTGAAGTTAGTGTTTGCACAGGACAGCACGGGCTTGGCTCCCTGCCCCACGACAGGCTTATCAGTGCGTCAGGCAACGCAGCCGCTCAGAACCAGCGACCGCGCTTCTCGTTGTGTTTCTGTTCAGGCTTTTTAGCTGTAAGACTTGGCAATTCGTGGGGAGAAGTGGGAAATACAGCTACCTGACAGGCCTGATACACGTAGCTATGAGCTACGAAATTCCTCCCTACAACACACTTACGTCCCAAGACCAGAAAAGAAACGTGCCGCAGATGCAAAGAGCTTATTTAAAATGTTCTTCCGTCTTTCCTGGTACAGAAAGTACTGTCTGAGCAACAAAAACACCCTCCAGCAGCCTAACAAACCCAGCTGCACTCCAGATGAAACACTCCACGCTCATCATTACGTTTCGCCCATGCTCTTGACTGACTCTCACAGTTTTGAGGTGGATCTGGCCCATGACATGGGAATGTTTGGAGCCAACAGCAGAGGAAACACCAGCATCTCCAACTGGGCAAAGCCTTTGCCTGGCAAACCCATCCCTATCAGCTGCTCCGTCCTCTGTCCCAGCCTATTGCCTGGATATTGCAGCGTGTTATTTGCAAGGCTAGCCCTGGCGGCCTTTGGATGGAAACGGCAGATCCTACCCGGGGCAAGGCAAGAACCTTTGGTCCGATACCTCCCCTGCAGCCAGGCCTTCATCTTGCTGCTCCCTCAAATGGTTTTACAAAGTGATCTTTTGTTTGCTGAGCAAAGGTCTGGCGCGCTCTTGATTGGCCTCAGCCTTTTTCTCATCGTGCCTTCCTTATCCCTGTTTGCCTCTGGCACCAACAGCAGCAAAACTGGCCTGAGCAGCAGCTCACCCCCCAGCCAGTGCCCGAGAGGAAAGCTCTGCACCTTCCCAAGGAAGGGGAGTAGCTTCTCCTCCCCATGCCCAAGAATCGTCGCAGCTCCTTCCCCGCCGCAGGAGGCGACACAGTCATTGCAAAACAGCTCGCATTTGCTCTGCCGTCGGATTTATAGGGAGCCAAGTCCAACAACAGTTGGTCCATGACGGACAAACTCCTCAGGCTGTTTACTGCCAGAAAGGCAGGTACTGTCTTTGGGGAAGTCCTCCAGGATCAGATCAGTTCCTCTCGAAGTGAAGCAGGGGAAAAACTGATCCAGAACCAAGGGAAAGGACCTGGCACGCCGCTGCCCTGGCGTGAAGGGACTCGCTCGAGCACTCACAGCCCTGCCATAAAACCACACCAGTGCGCAAACCAATCTTTTGCCAAGAAAACAAGCCGGGCAGGGAAGATCCTGCTGCACACAGAAGTGTCACCCCGACCCGGCCGGGGAACGAGGAGCTTGAGCTGAATGGTATCGGCGAGAGCATCTCCATCCTGCTCCTGGCAGCCACCGTGGCCCTGACACACACAGGACAGCGGGGCTGGAGGCAAGGGAAACTTTTTCTTGCTGTAGGCCAACGTTCTGATCATTGCTAAAACTGGTAGCTCCTTTGCCGCTGCCAGATAACAACCGCTAAAGCCAGGCCTCAGGGACCGGCACCAGGCAGCCTGCAGGTGAGCTGGAAAGCGCTGCTGCCGTGCTTTAACCTAAAAGCCCAGTTTTGAAGCAGCTCTGTAGCACAGAGCAGGCTCTGGAGATTGCAACCCAAACTCACCAGTCCCTGCCCGACCCTCAGCCAGGAAGACCTACTTGAAAAGCCAAGACCGTGGCTTAAACTCACTCAAGTTTCAAAGCACACTGATAACTCCTCAGTTAATTAATGAAGCCCCAAAGCCCTCCGCTGAAGTCAGACCTCCCGACGGCTCGAACAGGTTTAGTTAGATCTGTTGCTAAACAACCCGGACCGACGCGCTACAAGCATTCACCTCTGCGTAGTTTATCTTTGCTCACATTCCCAGTGCCTAGCTTAAGCCGAAATCAAAACCGCCGGAGTGACGTTAGCACCAACATCGAGCCGGTCTAACCCCGGCGCAGACCACTGCACCGCGACCGGTGGGGATTCTCACTTCCCCAAAGCTGTTTTTTCTTTTCCTGCTCCACCGGGCTTGGCAGCTTCCCCCAAACAGGTTCTCCTGACCTTACCCGATGGCGGAGGGGGAGCAGCTGCTCCCCCACTTCCCAAGGGATCCGGAGCCGCCCCGGTTGGCCCTGACCTGTGACGCTCGAAGGAACCAGAGCCAGCGGAGGACGAGGCAGCTCGGCAAAAGTCTGACCGGCCTTCAGGAGAGCCCTGCCACCCCCCCGGCGCCTCCTCTCCGCGCTCCTGGCAGGTGCGGGAATCCGGAAACACCCCGCGGGTCCCCCACCGCTCCCGTGGCCAGCTGCGGCTTCGCAGGGAGATTAAGGAAAACGACGTGCCCAAAAAGCCGTGCCCAAAAGCCCCGCGCAGGCTCTGCGTCACCCGAAGAGACCCTTTTGCCACGTGCTTTGCTTTAGTAAACGAAACCAGAAAAATCTGTTTTTTACCAGCACAAGCAGGAGGGCTGGCTAGCACTCATGGACACGACAGCTTCCAGGGCAAAGCTTTATGTACCCCAAGACCTTACCCCTTCCTGGGTGCCAACAACTAGCATGCCACGAAAGCCTGCTGCAAAGGGGGCACTCTCCAGCATGCACAGGCACTTCTGCCCCAGGGACAAGCCCGCTGTTCCCAAAAACACTCGGTACGCTCAGGGGCTGCCAAAGCAAAATAGTCCCTTTATCCCAGCCTGGAACCTGCTCTCAGCTAGGCTACAGCACTTTAGCAAAGAGCCATCTCTTACCAAAATACAGGAGACCAGATGCAAAGTGATGAGCGATGGCAGCAGTCCAGCAGGAACTGCAGATGTATCCAAATTTGGCACTCGGAGGGTTGCTCACATACCAGCAACAGCTCCCGGGGACTCTAGGGTCTGATATTAAACGGTGCCCCCAGAGAAGAAAAGGAGGGACCGGCAGCAAAGCCCTGGGCTTCAAGAATGTTCTAAGGCAGGTTTGAAAGAGGGCTTTTAACACCGAAACCTGCATTCCTGACACAGTCTTACTCCATCATTTTCCCCTTCTTGGAAAGACAATTCCCCGCCCCCTCCGATATTTAGATTTCTCACATTCAAGGGTAACTCAAGATTAAAGATAGCTCAGTCAATACTACCCGCCTTGGAAAAGATCTTCCCTTCTCTGTGACAGCCTAAACCAACGTGTGATATGCCCATCAATCTATCCGAAGGAAGGCTGACCTGGCCATCCCACTCCTGATCTGAACCCCTTTACACCAATTGCCTCCAGCCCTGGCACTGATTTTTTCCACATCTGAACATTTACATTTCCCAGAAAGCTGTTTTGGGTATAACAGGAGCTGCCCGCTGATTCGGATGCCGCAGGGAAATGCCTGCTGGGTTCCCCTTGCTCTAAAATGCCTCCTGCAGAGCGCGAGTTTTTGTGTCCCTTTTGCAGGTGTTTCTTTGGGGGGAAAAAAGAGAAGGTGTCAGGTCTCTGATCCTGCTGTTTTGTCTTTAGGTGAAAAATACAACATAACTTCTGTGCTCTTACAGAAATACTTGTGCCCCTGCCTTCCCTGCTCCCGCATCCCCCAGCTACCAGAATCCCACCTACTCGCTGACCACCGCACAGCAGGAAGTGTCCCTGGATTTAAGGTATTCCCCTTCCAAAGGTGGCTTTGTTAGTCAGCCTGCTGAAACCACCTGGCTGACTGATGCCAGGAGCTGCTCTCAGCTCTCCCACTGATGCCCAGCCCTGCCTATTTTTTCAGCCACTCCCTACCTGGCTGGCTGTGGGTGCTCCAGCCTGACTTCATACCCCCATGAAACAGCGTATTTTAGGCATAAAGCAGCTAGTTCAAGCTGAACCACTGCTCTTTGCTCCTGCAAATTTCTCCTCTTCGGCATATCAACTAATCTCCTCCAGGCTGGTGCCAGGCAAGCAGCCGTGCTCTGGGATGTGGCTAACGAGGGCAAGATGCAGACTCAATCTTTGAGGCCTACAGTGTCTCTTTGCAAAGATCCACAACTCTTGGTTTCACACAGAGCTGCAAACACCCAGTTTTTCCTGTCCTTCAAGCCACTGACATTTTACAGACTAATTCATTAGCCCAGCTGGGTCTTTTGACCAAGGGGATGCAAACACCATGGGGAAAAAAAAGAAAGCAACACATGTGCTAAATATAAAATAATATATAGCTGGGAGGCGGCTGGTTTGGAGCCCTAAATGATTTGGCTCCTGTTTCTTTGGTTTGGAGCCCTAAATGAGTGGGCTCCTGTTTCTTTGCTGCTGCTGCAGTGATTTATTTTGTGGCTGTATTGCGAAGTCACCAGAGCAGATGAGGGCCCCCATCTCTCTAGGCCCCGTACAGTCCCAAAACGTCAAAGCAGCAATTCACAGAACCAATTCCCAATAAGCAGCCTGCCATGTGCTTTTGCGGTGAGATGCTTCCATGTGTCTCTCCAGCCTGAGTGAAGGATGCTGAGCACAGCCAAGTCACTACGGAGACAGGCGTAACCGAAGCAGAAAGATCAAGGCACTTACCCGCGTGGAATGGCAGCAGTCAGCAGCAAAGCCTCTGTTTCTTCCCACTTATATCAGTTCATTCAATAAACGCTGTCACCTCCTCCTCTCAATGTTGTATCAGTGTGGCCACAACAGCATGATGAGCGGCAAGCTGAGGTCTAGCGCGCCTTTAGGAGGAAGGAGAGCACTGGCTTTAGGCCCCGCTGAAATCTGAGAATTAAGTCTGCCTTTGTCAGAACTGCAGGCAAGTTGCAAGAGCTAGACCGCCGTGAGCTCGACCCCCAGGAGAGTCCCAGAGGAGACAGGGATTAGCTGCAGGAGCAGCACACACTCCCTGACCAGGCAGGAGACTTCCGCATCTGCTCCCAGCCCTGGGAATGCCACCCACGTGAAAAGAAGGGAAAAACCCGTAGCTGCTTACATAAGGAATGAAGGCAGGCTGCCTGCAGGGGAAAGTCTTCTGGTGGAGGCAGTTCCCAGCAAGTCTAGCTCGGCAAAGGAGCACCGTCCATCCACGCTGCCACACCAGCGAAGGGCCGGATTCAAAGAGTGACAAAGGGGCTTCCTCCCTGCAGTGTGTCTCAAAGATTCTGTTCCCAGCGTGTGACTCCTAAATTCAAATTTCACCGACAGTGCCCTCCCACCCGGATTCCTGCCAGACAACCCTGAAACCACCCCATCTCCATCTGCAGCTCTGCAGCGAAAACGTTCAATCCGGTCCGGCAACTTCCACAGCGATACAAAGGATTGGGAGAGAGATAAAACTCACAGGGTGTCCTGTTACTTTGCATTCCAAAGAGTAAATAAAAGGCTGATTCAGTGGGAGGAGAGGAAAACGTCACCCAGGAGCCCTGCGGTTTCCAGCTGAACCGGCAGCCCCCGGAGAGCAAAGGTGAACGCTTGGGTACCGCTGGTCTGCGCAGGAACAGCTCTTCCTGCTCTCGGGCCTGAGGCAAGTTGTCTTGGTGTGATTCAGCCTCTCTATCTGTAATGTAAAGAATAATTACTGACTTTGGAGAATGGGGCCCGTAAAAGCGCAGTGTGTTGCCCTCAATTGGCCACACGCTGCTTTGAGGCAGAGCCCGGCGCTGGTGCTACTTTTCAGAGAGCTGTTCAACAACTGTGTAATTTGGATGGGAACTTACCCTTTGATCTCAAAGGCTTCTCTCAAGGGCTCTGCAGTGAGAGTGCCGCTTCCCAAACATGGCTTTGGCAGGGATGACAAGCAGCTTTGCCCTCCTGAGATCACCCAAGCTGGCCAGAATAAAGGGCACCAGCGACCAGCTCCATCCTGTGGAAGGCATGGGCATGAGCAGTGAGCAAAGGATGGGACAGCGAGCACCAAGCCTGCAATGAGAAACTCTACCCTCAGCCCTCCAACGCTTCCCAGGCAGCTCCGAGACACGCTTTCAAAATTCAAGGGGATCGTTTCTTGTGCCCCTGTTGCTTAATGGTGCTGGCCACCTGACAGCCGTGGGATTCCAAAGGGAATCCGCAGCCCTAGGAAACACACCACAGGACGTAAGCTTGCTCCTGGGACTACGCGATTAGCTGGGTCTCTTTCTTGAGCTCCTCTGTGGCTCCTGAAAGCGGCGAACCCCTTTTCCTGAGCTCTCAGTCGGCAGCAGCAGTGTTTGCCAGCCCATCTGTAAGTGCAACGGAGTGGACAGGCTTGATTGCCCGGTTTCTGGCACTGTGTATTTTGAAACCTGGCTGCAGACTCAGGCACGCCCAAGATTCAAAGTCAGTTAAGGTCCTGTCTGCCTAACGAGCTGCAAATGCGTAAGCTGAGGCCGTGACTGGGGTGAGAGAGGCAGACAATGCCTTGGAATTACCCACTTCGCTTTGGTTTATTACAAACAAGTAGAGCTGACCCATGCTTGCCTGCCTTGCCACCTTATTTTCCACAGAAAATAGAAGTTCAGGGTTTGTGTTGGCCTTACCTCCGCTGTTTACAACCAAACCAAAAAAGATGCAGCTTTGACTTTTCACTTATTCCTCTTATTTCCCTCACTTTGTCAGTGCCGAGGTCAAAGGGTTGTGCCATGGGGTTTTTTTGCTGGTTTATGGTCCAGCTCCTACTGTTTTTCAGACAACTAATTGGCTGATGTTCTTCCAGCTATCCCTCTACTGGGGTACAGTGAGACGGCACACGCTGTTAACGTGCTCCCCCCAAAAGCAGGAAAACTGGCTGCAAACTCCCCCCGCGGCGTTCAGCCTGTCAGAGGTGAGCAGCAATACGTGCTCTCCTAGATGCTGCAGGTCCTCTCCAGGATGAGGTGGCAGGCTGGATGAAACACCCTGCCGACTGGATCAGACCTGCTCTTGTCCACTCTCCACCCCAAAAGTAGGATCACTATGTATAACGTTTGTCTGGAAACTCCCCTCCTCCCAAGACGATCTATTCCAGCATTACCGTGTCCTTAATTTCTGTGAGTTCTTGTAACATCCAATCTAGATCTCCCTCACTGCATGAAAAATTGGTAAGCTCCGACTTATTTTTCCCATGGCTCTTAGAATCATAGACTCATAGAATTGTTTGGGTTGGAAAAGACCTTTAAGATCACCAAGCCAAACGGCTACCCTAACCCTGCCATCCCACCACTAAACCCTGTCCCTAAGCACCTCATCTGCCTGGCTTTTAAATACCCCCAGGGATAGGGACTCAACCCCTTCCCTGGGCAGACCATTCCAGAGCCTGACAGCCCTTGCGGGGAAGGAATTTTTCCTAATGTCCAACCTAAACCTGCCCTGGCACAACTTCACACCATTTCCCCTCATCCCATCGCCCATTACCAGGGAGAAGAGGCCGACCCCCACCTTGTACAGCCTCCCGTCAGGCAGTTGTAGAGGATGACTCCCTGTTCTCTGAAGCTCAGACATCTGTTGCTGGCCCACAGGTACTTGTGGGGAAAGAGCTGTGCACGGGCTGCAGAGAGCCCTCAGATTCCTTCCATCAGATGTCAGGGAGATGTTGGGAAACCTGCCTCACCTTGTAACCCCACTGAGAGAAGAGAGCGCTTCTCTTGAAGAATCGGCGAGCTGGGAACAGTGGTTCCCAGACAGTTGTTGCTCTCTGGGATGCTTGCCTTAAATCATAAAAAAAGAAGCAGAAAAAACATAAGCTGGGATTAAATCCAGCCCTAATGCAAACTCTGATCCTTCTTGCCAAAATTGTTAAAATCCAGGCATGCGGACATGGTCAATGAAAGTTTTCTTCCTACTGGAAGGAGCTCCTGGGTTTGCCGACTCTGAACTCATACCGTACTCTTTCAGTCCGCCCATGTCACTTCGACTCACCTCCACGACACGAGTTGAAAAATAAAAATAGAATAAATCCTATCAACCAGGCACAAACTCAGCTTTCTAATTACAAAGAACACACCCCTCTGACTGGGGGCTCTCCCTCTTTTGGTCACAGTTACCTAAAAACACAGCCCAAGCTGTCATGCTGCCCTTCAAAGGAATGGGGGGCTATTTTTGTGACCTCGAAGCACTTTGGGCTTTTGGAGAACTCCTCAGCTTTGCACATTAACACCCTCCCGCCTGTCCAGCTGTCCCAGCGCATGTTTGGAACAACCACCCAGTTAAGTTTATGATTTTTGGTAAGCTACCAGCTTCTTGCAGAGAACAGATACAACACTGAGATGACACCACTCACGTAACAGCCTCCCTCTGCTTTGCACCAGCACCAGCTTTAAGACCCCTTCGTAGCCATTACAGGGGCCAAATGAAGTTGCGAGTGCGCTTTCAGTACAGGAACACCATTAAAAGCAAACACAATGGCTTACCAAGTTATTGCTTATTATTTAAGCCACGCAGGCCACCCCAGCTCTGAAACAGAACATATATCCTTACACGAGCGAAGCAGTGCAAAGGGAGATCAGTAATTCGTAAAGTTGCAGTGACTCAAGGGCTTTCGACTGACTGCCCATACCCATAATTTCACAGGGTAACTGAGAACACAGGAACAATTCTCACCAGGGGCTGACACACACACAGAATCCCAGAATCCCAGCATGGCAGGGGTTGGCAGGGCCCTCGGGAGCTCACCCAGTCCCACCCCCCTGCTCAAGCAGGCTCACCCAGAGCAGGGGGCACAGGACAGCGTCCAGGCGGGGGTTGAAGATCTCCAGAGAAGGAGACTCCACAGCCCCCCTGGGCAGCCTGGGCCAGGGCTCGGGCACCCTCACAGTCAACAAGTTCTTTCTCCCATTCAACTGGAACCTCTTCTGCTTCAGTTTGTGTCCATGGCCCCGTGTCCTGGCGCTGGGCACCACTGAGAAGAGTCTGGCTCTGTCCTCGGGACCCCCACCCTTGAGATATTTGTACGTGGTGATGAGATCCCCTCTCAGCCTTCTCTTCTCCAGGCTGAACAAGCCCAGGGGTCTCCCCAGAGCAGAGCAGAGGGGGAGGAGAACCTCCCTCGCCCTGCTGGCCACGCTCCTCTGAATGCACCCCAGGATGCCTTTGGCCTTCTTGGCAACAAGGGCACCCTGCTGGCTCATGGCCACCTTGTGGCCCACCAGGACTCCCAGGTCCCTCTGGGCAGAGCTGCTTTCCAGCAGGTCAGCTCCCACCCTGTACAAGCAACTGGCTTAAGCAGCTGAAAAGTCCTCAGTGCAAATACCTTTTTTGAGTAATCAAGCATATTTTTCTATGTACAGAAGCATATTTTTATATGTACGTCTCGTAAATACCAAGTAGCCACTGCTTCCCCAAGCGCAAGCTGAAAAATTTTCCCATTGCCAAAAATTCATTCAGAATGACACATCAACCCATTAAAGTCACTTACCACTGAGTTTCAAACAATACCAACATCTTTGCAGAGCCTTGCTTCCAGGTCCTCGTTAACCCTTCAAGCAGCATCAGCACAACAGGTAAAACAGCATGACCTTGGGCAGGTTTGCTCTTCTATTTTCTGGGCCATGACGGCCTTGCTCTGGGTCAGCACATCTACTTACTGATGCTCCCTCCTGTATTTGGCTGGCACGTCCTGCTCTTTCTTTAAGTGTTGCAAAACTGCCCCATCCTGGAGCTCTTAAAGACCAGCCTGTTTCTGCTTCAAGGATCTTGGTTCTGGCAGGAATTATTTCACTCCAGGTCTTGCAAACTGGAGGACAGTGAGAAAAAGCAACGTTAGAAGACAGGGATGTACGGCTTACCAAGTCGGTTTGGTGATTACTTCTAGGCAGAAGGAAACAAACTGGTTCTTGAAACACCCCTGGTTTAGCAGTTTTTTGGCCTCAACGCAGGATGCCATATACAAGATTAATCCATGCTCAAACAGATTAATCCGTGTGGAATGGGTCACTTTACGTAAGATGCATCATCCCTAAATTAAATCATTAAACCCCCAAATTTAATCATGAAAAGCCCAAATTTGCACTACTCATTCCAGAATCCTTTTTATAGCCCACAGAAAGAGATAGTTATATCCAGAGAGCGATTCATCCTACATGAAGAACCGGAGGGAGGTCAAACGAATTGCCCTCTGGAGCTAGCACTGGCTGCAAATGCAGCCTAGGGTGAGCAACTTGGATTTCTCTATCTAAAAGTTTGATGCACAAGTTACGAAAGATGAATCCAGCCTACCAGCTTCATTTCCCTTTTGCAAACTATACGGTTATTTTGCTCCTTGCTATCCTCAGCTGTCCCATCACTTACTGGTTCGTAGCAGGGCTGGGCAGTGAGAGGCAGGGTGGGAGGAATGGGACCCATGGGTTGCGAAAACGCCCCCGTGTTTCAATACATGTTCACAAAACTTCTGTTAAATGATGATGCTGAGTTTGTATTCAAAAATCTGTAACGCTGCTACCCTGAAGCTTTTATCAAGCGAGCGAACAATGTATTAGGCTACTGTTGAATGATCCAGTGTAGCACTGAGGATCCCCTTTGACGTGCGACACATCCAACCTACCCACAGAACTGACTCAAGTAAATCTCAGATTGCAATAGATCGGTTGCCACCCAGCAGCTACAGCATTAAACCACGTTTCTGTTGGAGCCAGTTCCCACCCAGGGCACAGCAGCGCGTTCTCCTTCCCCTGCAGCTCTGCCCAGCCTGCAATGAGCCACGGCGTTTAAGGTTGCGGGGCAAAAATCTTCAATTTCAGACTGCCATCCCACAGCGCTACGTGAACAGTCCTCGGCCAGAAAGGTCCTGAGGTCAGGCACCACGTCCCAAACTCATGTCAGGCAGGACAGGCGTACGAGAGCCAAGTCCACTGTGACTTTGTTCTCGTTTCTGTGATTCAGGTTTGCCACGTGAAAAACGAGTCGCAAGGTTTCTGTATTTACCCAAAAACTACATCAGTGACCACAAGGCATTTGGAAAACAAAGATTAGCTGTTAAAAACAGGCAGGTTGATGTCCAACTTACTGCTGCTTCTGAAAAGGAACACTTGAAGTAACCCCAAGGTGAGTTCATTGGGTTATCAGGGCATCCTACTGAGGTATATAAATGGAGATTTCCCCCCGTGATTTAAATAAAGCAGAGAGGTTGTTAAAAATAAATGGCCTTTGGTAGCTTGTGTAGCACGCTCAGTTCTTGTAAGCAGTGATTACACGATATTCTCTTGCAGGAAATAAACACCTAATCCACGGTTTTTAAGAAATAATCAAGGCCCTGGGATAACTCCAGCCAGCATCTCGCTGTGACGAAAGCAGGCTGCACTTGTGGTTTTTAGTTAAAAAGGGTAACGGCAAAGGGTGTCAGACTGAAAGCCCCTTCAGCTTCAGGCAGGACAAACTGATGGAAAGCGGGCAGCACTGGCTTAGTGCTTTCTCTAGGCTGTCCTCCTCTGCGTGCACGCTCCCCTGTGCCGCTCTCAGTGCAGTACTCATCCGGACAGCTTTCCGTCGCCACAGCAAGAGGACATTAAGAGCAAACACCACATGGAACAGAGCCTAGCTTCAATACACCTTCATCCAGTCCCAGCATGCACCAAAACCAAAATAACTCCAGCCCCTCTCTGCCCTTCAGCCTACTGTGTAGAAGGTAAAGGTTACTTATTAGAAACAAGGGCTCTTTACTCCCAGTAGCTTAAGGGTTATTTTTCAACCAGAGTGGAAGCGACTCACCAGGCAGGCGGCAGCTGAACCGTAGCACAGGCTGTACTTTGTCCTGGAAAACTGGAGTAAACATATAGTGTTTAATCCAGCACATGGTCCTTCGAAATAAGCCCTGATGCTTCTTCCCCCAAAGATCACACACTTCAGAGGCAAACAGGACAGGCTTCAGCGAAGCAGCGACGAAGGCAAAGGGTGCTCACACGTTAGCAGTGCAGCAAAGATGGGTATGGAAGAAAAGAGATGGCGACCTGAACAGCAAGACTCTTAAAAACTCAGCAGCAGGAGCAATCTGAGACTCACGGGATTAGATGCAGGTTTCTTGTTTTGTTAAACTTAATCCTGCCAAAGCCGCTCGTGCCCAGTGACAAATTCATGTGGTCACTGGCAAGAGGATTCAGAGAAATTGAAGGGGCTTCACGCTGTAACCATCTTTCAGTACTTGATTGTTGGTTTTGACACTGAAGAGCTTTATTAATTACAAACAGAACTAACACAGCAGGATTAGCTTGATTACGTTTTGGATTTAGAGGCTCGCTCACATAAGCCACACCAGGAAGTCATTTGTCGTCTCCTTCATTTCTTACTTTAACTTCACAGCTAAAAGGACTGAAGAACGTCCTCGCCTCCCTCCCAAACCACGGCCTTTCTGCCGTCTCCTCAGTCGACAGTTAAATGTACAAAAAAAAGGTACAAAAATTGCCAAAGCAGGACAGGTGCTCAGAAAACCTTTATCACTCCAAATTCTGTTCCCGAGGCGTATAAACCATAATTCAAGCGCTTGCTTTAAAACGGCGTACTGATGCGCCCTGCTTACTCAACACTTGCAGCCAGCCACTTCTTTTTTTACTGAAAATACCTGATTTCCTCCAGCCCACCCCTGAAGTAATTAGCTATTGGACAGAAAGACCGACACACCCGGCCTGAAGCCCAGCAAAACTGCCGCTCCGGTGCGGTAGTTCTGAACAGCAACACACACAGCTCCCGCCACGCAGCTCAGCCAGCACCGGAGAGCGCTGAACCGTACGACTCAGTTCTTTAAATAATTATATTCAATATCATGTAACTTGGAGTAAACCACATATTTAAAAAAAAAAAAAAACTACAAGAGAAACCAGGTTAAAAAGAACCATCTTACGAAGAAGATGGAGAATCTATTAGCCCTTGGCAAGCTAGACATTGTACACAAAACAACACGCTGTACAAAACCGAAAGGAGGTGGCAGAGAGATTTGTAAGGCTTTCTGCCCTTTTATTCTTCTCCTGGTCCAACATATCTTCTGATCTCATTCCGAGAAAGGTCATGTCAGAACAGCCACGAATTCATCTCCGGCATGTGCAAAATTCAAACATATTTACGTACAGAGATAAAATCGCAAAGGTAAAAACAAAACTGAAGGCCAGGATCATGGGTTAAAATATTTCTTCCGAGTCCTGGAGACTACAGTTTGGGTATATTTGAAAACATATTCCAAACTTTTAAAACAAGCTACAGCCTTTTTTGACTGATAAAAAGGTTCATCTGCTGGGGAGAGCTAAAGGAGGATCCTCCTGGTGAAAACTTCCTTTTTTTTTTTCCCCACTGTATTCCCATTTGCTGACAGACTTGTTCATGCAATGACTTTCTGTAACTCCTCCACTTCTCACTCTTCCCCACGGTTACTAGCTTTTTTACAGCAAAAACCTTCTTGACCGGCATCCTGCCTTTGACAGAAATTTGACATGGAAGTGGGATCTGTTCAAAAGAAGTCTGAGCGCAGAGATAGGGGAGAGGTATTTAAAACGACTATAAATAGTGCACTGAATGTGCTAGGGATCTACTTCCAGGCTATGTTACAAACAAACTCTAGTGTCCAAGCCACCATCCAAAGTCACCCATATAAAAGTAGTGACAGCCAGATGCCAGCAAAAGGAGGCATCTTCTTCACGACTTTGAAAAGTCTGGATTGCCCCTTCCAAGCAAGTTTCCCTGGTTGAGGAAGACCCAGGATCAACTGCTTTGTCTACAACCCAAAATGCACAGAAATGATATTCTCAAAAAGCCCTTGGGATGGGAAGGGAACAAAGAAAAGGAAGACGTTTCTTAAATGACCCATGCCACAGAACATGGCTTTACACATCTGGACAGAAACATTTTGTTTTGTAGGTTACAGCACCTTTGGCTGTGGAATTTCTACCTAGACATCACAATGCTGACTCCAGCCAAGCAACGTGCCAGAACCCAGTCCGATCCCTAGCCACGACTGCCATTAGGCAGCCTTGGGTGGTTGGATGGAGGATGACCACGGACTCTGGGAAGTTCTTGGAAAGTGATCCATTTTCAAACCAGTGTTCACAGCTGATCTTGGGTCTGTTTTGGAGATGGAGCTGTTGTCACAACCACAGTGGAAACCGCTTTAGTAGAGCCAGACACTGTTCCCTGCTGGAGATGGGAGGCTGGTACAGTTTGAATTCGAACCTGTTTGAAATGGAAAGAAAAAAAACTCAGCTCATGTCAAGAACAACCTGGTGACACATTGCACTTGTATCGCACTCTGAAGCGCTGGTAAGTTATCTGTTTCTGCCACCAACAAAAATTCAATTATATGAACAAGACCAAGCACCAAAACACATCAAGAACAGAATCTGTCACAAGAATTCCTACCGTTCACGTGAGACGGTGGCAAGAGAATTCAAGATTAGAGAGGAAGAAGTAAAAACTAATTTGAATAAAAACCTACAATGTCAGCAGCTTTTACAAGTTCTCAGACGGAGGACTTGGATCCATTGGATACTTCACCTCTACAGACTGGTTACTAGCAGCTCTCAATGCAGATTAATTCTTTGGAATTAACAGAACACCGAGTTTCCAGACAGAAAGACGGAATTGCAAAGAAGTGATGCGATTTCTTCAAGAAATGGTGACCCACAGAATCACAGAATAGAATCATAGAATCATTTAGGTTGGAAAAGACCTTTAGGATCCCCCAGCCCAACCATTCCCCTACCCCTGCCATCCCACCACTAAACCCTGTCCCTAAGCACCTCGTCTGCCCAGCTTTTAAATACCTCCAGGGATGGGGACT